CGGGTCTCTGCGCAGGAGTTGCTCGAGTCGGTGACTTCGGCATTTCAGAGCGGGGCATCTCCATCTGCACATCTAACCCGAGTTCCTCTGAGCGGGCCGACGTTTTCTGTCTCTCCCCCGAAGGCGTCCTGGGTGCACGTGTTTCGCTCTTGGCCTTCGGTTGGAGCGGGGGCTTCCTTGCCCCCTTCATATAGATCTTTTGGGACCCCAGCAGCATTTGGCGAGTTGCCTCGCGGGTGCGTTCGCCTGCCACTCGCCTGCGCTCCGCATCTGCTGCGGATCGCTGAGCCTTCTGTTCATCGTCGTCCATCATCTCTGGCTGTTGGGCCTGACTGGAGACGCCAAACGGGTTTCCCCGCATTCCAGGAAGACGATTGAGCGCATCTTTCTCTTCCTGGGTCATAGGCGCAAGTCCCCTCGGAGGCTGGGCCTCCTCGGCCATCGGGCTCCTGTGAGCCGTGGTTCCGAGACGACGGTTGATCTCGTCGATCTCTGCTTGAGTCATAGGAACCAACGGTGGATGACCCTCCTTTGCAGGAGTGCGGCCTCTTTTCGGGCTCAGGCCCTCGTTGAGACCTACAGGACACCCAGGCCTGTGTTCCTGGAATGGCTCTGAGCACGGACCACAGACTGCGTTGGGCCTGTAGAGCTTGCGCGCCGCAATGATGGTCCGCAGCTGAGTCCGCACTGCCTCTATCTCAGGACGGCGAATGTTCGTCGCGAGCTGGTAGCCACCCCTTATGGACCTGCCTTGGGCATCCCTGTAGGCTGGGTTGCCTTTGCCAAAAGCAGAATGCTCACCCGTTTGACGCCCAGGGTCGTTGTAGGCGAGCAACTGACCCCCTCGCCGAGAGGCGTGCTCCGATGGGGCTGATTGCCTCTATTCGCGTGGGAGCCGTGCTTGAGGGTGAGGGTCGCCCCTAAGGCGCGGATGCGAGCGAGACCTCCTGGCGTGCTCATCAGATGATGCCGCCGACGCAGCCTGAGCAGGAGCCGGCGGGGGTTCCTGCGGGGCCGCAGGCGGCGCATCTTGGGCAGGCAGGTCTCCCTGCTGACTGGAGTCTGGCACAATTGGCTATTGTGCGGGTGGTGGTGTGTCAGGACTGTCTGGGCTGAAATCCACCTCCTCGTCTTCACCATTGACTTCCATCATGAGGATGGTGGTCTCGTCCTCGTACATCCCACATCCATCGCCCTCCTCATCTTCTGACATAGGATTGCCAATGACGATGGTCATTGGTTCAGCCGGGATGGGCAGGTTTCCCTGCTGTGCCAGCGTCTGAGCATCGCTTGGCTGTCCCGGCGTCGGCGGTACGGTAGTCGGCTCAGGCTCGTTACCGAGCATAGCGTGCACCTCGAGATGATCATAGTCATGCGTAGGCTGCCCGATAACATTCCGCATGGCCGTGTGGTTGGGCTGTAATCCCGCCGCCTGGAGACCCCGTCCCGGCGGAGGGAGAGCCTGATCGCGCATGGAGATGGCCCTTTCGAGGGCTTGGCGCCATCTCCCTCTGGAGTACCACGCATGTCGTTGCACGTCCCCAGGGTGCACGCTGTCAATGAGAGTAAGGGCCGCTAACACTAACTCCGAGTCGTCACAGGCATCGGTGTCTTGTAGCATCATGTGGCCACTCTCGACACTCTCTTGACTCTCGGGATATGCTACGACCAGTACAGCGTGCATCTGCAGGAGGGTCTGCAGTATCGTGCGCGGTCCGTACTCGCCTGGAGCGAGCGTGACAGGCGGCACGTATGGGTTCCATGGCACGCCCACGGTGAATGCTTGAGACTCTTCTAATTCCATCAGATCAGCATAATTTGGGGGATATACTGGAGTGGGCCTGTTTCCAGGCATAAGGTCGGGTTGATGTCGAAGGTTGTGGTCAACCTCCGAAGGCGAGGCCTCAAGAGTGATCTCCTCGTCACTGCCCTCGTAGGCCATGATGGTGCCTGGGTTGCCGAACATCCAGTCGAAGAAAAATAAGGGCTGGCTTCCCAGCGTTCCATTCTCCACAGGCGTAAGCTCGATATTTCCGAGAGCAAGCCTGCGGAGGTACTCGAGGTAGTACGCGTACAGTCCATGGCCGTACGCCTCGAGCTCATCCAAGTTGTCCATGCTGCTAGCCCAAGTGAAAAATATCGGTTCCACGGCCTCGAAATCTTGGAGGCTCAGATATTCAATAAATGGTTCACTTGAGCCGAAATGGACTTCGGTCGATCTGCCCTTTCCAGTTCCCTTCGCTGGATAGTCTTTTACAAGATGATCGGTGCTACCGCGCCCGTGGCATTTTAGGATCTGGCCGTCTCTACCTCGCGGGTTCCCCCGCCTACCTCTACCCTTGCCCAAGGTATCCCTACGGCCTTTTCCACGGCCTTTTCCCACGACAAATATCTCATCATACTGATCATATGAAAGCCTCTGGAGGAAAGCCGAGATGCCTCGTCCATTCAACCTGCGGCGACCCCGTTTGCGTTTACGTTTTCCTTTGAAGCTCCTCCGTATCCTCCTCCTAACACGACGTACCGGTTTCCGTGTGAACCTCCTCGTCCTCCGCTTTGCCTGTTGTAATAACCAGAACAGGTGTTCGGCGCGCTGAGTACCCCCTTCCAATTGCATAATATCTGACCAATCTACGGGTTCGATACCATCTGATGATATGGCATCGGTGTCGGTGCCGGAGTCGAAATCGCCATTACCTAGGTAGGTGGATATACCGTGGCTTAGGGGATTAGCTTCACCCCATAGGGAACGGTGCGGTTGAGGTTCTCTAGGAGGAGGGCTGGCTGCCCAGCTTGGTTGCGATCGATCCCCTGTTAGTAGGGCAATAGATTCTCCAGGATCGTCGGCCCATATGCTTGAGGGCCCGTTGCCAAGCTGAGCTTCAATGGTTAAGGTAGTATAGAAATTTCCACTGCCAGTTCCCCTTCCCCTTCCAAATACTGATCCTATGTTGCCAGTGGACCGTTCTGACAGATGGCCTATCGAACGCATCCTCTCACACAACTCATCGTGCTGTTGTTGTGTTCGGGGCATTTGGTGGTTGAGTGGCTGTAAGAGTTGCATGGCTCGCTGGTTGCCAACGCCTAGGGCGCGGAACAGGATAGTAGTGAGCAGTTGGAAGTTGGGAAGGTCGAACCCACCGACTGTGCCTCAAGACGGGCCATCTCGAACCGAGTGAGGGTTACATCGATTCGTTCTCCGTGAGGCACGTGAAAGTCGATGAGCTCTGTGCCTGAAGTGAGCTGGCGCTCATCTTCCAGGCGTTCGAACTTCATGCTGTGTGGACACCATCGATGTCCGCACCATAGTTTTTAATGTCAGATGGTACCCTCATGGTGAGTGTCCTCGCTGGGCCACCCAGGCCGCGTTGTATGGCGGCTGCTTGGGCCTGTGGCGCCATGCGTCCGCTTGTGACGTTAAGCCACGCGTTGACCGCATAAACGTACTCGCGGAAAGGCACGTTGCCTTGAGGGTTCCAGTATGGGCCATGTGTTTGCCCATCTGTGCTGTTGTCTCCTCGGCGCATGTGTCCGATTGCTGCCCCCAGCGCAAACCATATGATGGCGAAGATAACCAACCCAAGGCTGTGAATATATGGGTGGTTATCAGGCGCGTTGCCGCGCTGGGGTAGCGCCTTGTCAAGTCTTCGAGGCGCTTTATCTTGCGGGTCTCCCCGCCTCTGCTTCAAGTACTGCGTTTTTGGCTCGTTGCCGAGCGGTTGGCAGTAGCGTAGTGATGAAGCGTATATGGTACCCATGCTGTTGTCTAGACGTCGTACCTCTCATGTTGCTTCTTGCTCTTGAATTTATTCTCGTAAATGTAGTTGGAGTGGTGACGCAGGGTGGTAGTTGGTCACGAAGATCGTGCCGGATAGCGTGAGGATAAGAAGAGCAAGAGCTGACCACACGAGAGTGCGGCCAGCTCCGCTACCAGGTCTGAAATGATTATGGTAAGTCAAATAGCATCCGATCCCATGGGGAGCGGATGTCAAATAGCGTCCAATGCCATGCTGTGTTGGTTCAGTATGAAGATGGACGGATAAGATAGGATAAGATCGATGTAGTGATCTTTCCAGCACGTAGCGAACACTCGCAGTGTCCGGGCAGATAGGGCGCGCGTGCCTTGAGCCAAAGGCAGCGGCGCACGGGCTATACTCCCGATCCTCTATAACATCTCCCAAAGAGCTACCCTTAAAGTTAAGAAATTCATAGTCTCAGAACTTGAATAAAAAAACCAACATTTCCATTGAAATCTTAAGATGTACATTGAAACGTTAAGAAAAATCGAGACTCTGCCCGAAAACTTAGGTTTTCTTAAGCATCGCCTCGGGTGTACACCTGAGGCCACGGAGATGGCCCAACAGGCCCCCGCGGCGCACCCAGGAACCCCAAGAAGGCGCCGAGAGGCACCAATCGTTGATGTTGCCGCGGTGTTTGCAAACTGATCACGTTTAACCCGTTTCGATACTGCTACGCTCCAAGATGGCTCAAGAGGGCCTCAAGACGGCCGAAGAAGCCAAAATGACGGAACAAGAGGGCCCCAAGGCTCAAGGAGAACGTCAACTGACAGTTCGAGCCCTCCGCGACCCCCAAGAAGCACCAGGAGACCCAAAAGAGGCCCCAAGAGGACCTAAGGGGCCCCAAGACACTCCACCACCCCCTGCAAGAAACTTCTGAGGGGCCTGCGAGGAGATCCTCACAGGCATCCCAAAGGCTGCTGACCTACGACCTACAACCCAAGCGTGGTGGCGGGATGGGCCGAAGGCATCGACAAGGAACATCGATGGCCACACCTTACACACATGGTCCTTACGATCGGGAGGGAGGACTAGAGGGTTCCTTACAATCGGGAAGGAGGAAGGCAGGATGAGGAGACCGCGATTGCAGTTTCATGCTTTGGTCGTTCGTAGCCCGCCGCCAGACAGGCTAACACAAGCTGGGCACTGGCCGCTGCGGCGTGCACTTCGCAGAGCGTCTTGCACACTCCTCCACCTCCTGCTCCTCCTCCTCCTCGACAGGCCAGAGACCGCATGGGAAATTGACAAAACAAATTACATTGAAGCGCGATCGCGCCTGATGCACTGATGGCGGCATACCGCAGCGCAAAGTGACTTGATGCATTGGCGCCCGCTCTGGAGGGCGCCCTCCGTCCACTGAGGCCGGGGCCGGTCAGCCCCACCCGCGGTCCAACACGGGCACGTCCGCCAGGAGGGCGCCCACACCGACTCGCAGGGCCGAGAGCGGCGGGGCCCAGGGGCGGGGCCTGGCCCAGCGGGGCCGAGGGCGGAGCCGGTGCATCGTTGGCGCCCTCTGCTCCCCTGAGGCCTGGCCTCCCTCCCTCCCTCCCTCCCCGTGAACAGGGACCGACCGTCCCGGCAGTCTTGTAGACCTACCACGAGCTGTTCTCAGAACCTCAAGAAAGATTTGAGGACAAAAACAATACTCTTAGAACAGAAACTCGATGAGGTAATCCTATGCCCCTGATAATCACAAAATGGGATGACAAAATTCGGGGCTCGGCGAGGATAAACACTTTATCTCCCAGCAGCTCGTATAGACGATGGTATGCTAATATAGTATCGCAAAATCCTCCTCGCTCTGGCGGGGCCTCCTTGGAGGGGTCAGAGGACACTAAACCTGAGAAATCGCATTGCCTAGCCATGCCCTGCTCGCTCCGGCGGGGCCTCCTTTGAGGGGTCGGAGGATCACGAAACCTGAGAAAACCGAACTAGTGAGAGTACCATGGCCCTGCCACGCGTGCGTGACTTGAAAAAGCATGACACTGAGAGAATCAAATGGCCCTGCAATACGGTCGTGAGTCGGGAAAGCTGGAATAATGACAACACTACAGCTCTGCCGCACGTGCTGACTTGGGAACGAACGCTGAAATGGTTAGAATATCAAGGCCCTGCCACGCGTTCGTGATTTGGGAAAGCTGAAATGATCAGATTCCCGTGGCCCTGCCACACTTTCGCGAATTTGGAAAAAGTGAAACGGCGATCATCCCACAGCCATGCCACACGTTGGTGAAGTAGGAAAAGCTGAAATCGCGATAAGTCCATAGACCTGTCACACGTTCGTGATACTGCGACTGCTCAACATAGAAGAACAACATCTTCGATTCGTACTTTCCCCAGCGATAATGAAGTTCGGCCTCGCCGCCCTTTCTCCCCGATCAACTCTGTCTTGGACTGGGATAGTCAACTCTCAGGTGCTAAGAGGGGGTATGATTTGAACTCCGAGGTGCTCCGTGAAAAAAAAGGTTTCTGCCAGAAATGTTCCAAGAACATTTCGTGCACACCCCAACAAGCTCTTTTTGAACATTATGTAGTAGACCGATGGGTGAGCCAAGACGCTTCGCCACTGCTCCCTGCCCTCCCTTTCTCCTTCATTACCAGAAGAACGCTATAATCATGAACTTTTGGCGCGGAAGGCCAAGAGTTTCTGCTTATGCCGTTTTCTCGTCTTCGACCCCCTCCCTCTGGAGTGTGTTCTGACCAGGACTTCGAGGCGAAGCCGGCGGTGGCGACGAGCACCTCCCAGGAGGCCCCCCCCCCAAAATGAGAAATCGAGGGAAGAGGTAAGGGGTAGGGGTACCCTGACCGCCCTCCCTCCCGTCCCTTCCCTTCCCTCCCCTCCCTTCCCTTCCCTCCCCTCCCTCCCTTCCCTTCCCTTCCCTTCCCTTCCCTTCCCTTGCATGACTCGTTAGGGATGCACCCTTCCCTGCCCTCCCCTCCCCTCCCTGACCGCCCTCTGCTTCCGCTCCCCGGACCCCCGACGTCATGACTTTCTCACCCAAGGGGCCCAAGGACACACCGATAAATACACACAAACAAAGGGATTCCCCATATGTTTCAATATTTTCTGGGTTTTTGTCTTCCCGCCCAATTCCCATATTGTCCGATATTTTCTGGGGAATCGACGATTAATTGTGTCTGTGTGTGTTTTCCCCTCCTGATTCATAACGCCGACCCTCAAGGGTCTCGACCCACTCCCCTCGAACAATCTTTCCTCCTGAATCCCTTCTTGACAGTCCCGAGGACCCGTATACGGGCCCCCCGAGGCCGAAGATATGGAGAAACCTCCCGCCGTGATTTTTCCAGTGCCCCACTCCCCTGGACCAGTCTTTCCTCCTGAGCCATCTCTTGACAGCCACGAGGGCCCGCATACGGGCCCCCGAAGGCCGAAGATCTGGAAAAGCCTCCCGCCGAGTTTTTTTCCAGTGCCTGGACCGGAAAAGCCTCCCGCCGAGTTTTTGTTTCCAGTGCCTGGACCGGTCTTGCCTCCGGAGTCGCTTCCTGCTTGTCCCGAGGCCCAGCAAGGACCCCCAAAGGCCGAAGATAAGGAACAACCTCCCGCGGTGATTTTTTCTAATGCCCCACTCCCCTGGACCGGTCGTTCCTCCGCAGTCGTTTCCTGCTTGCCCCGCGGCCCGGCAAGGAACCCCCAGAGGCCGAAGATATGGAACAACCTCCCGCGGTGATTTTTTTTCCAGTGCCCCGCTCCCTTGGACCGGTCTTGCCTCCAGAATCGCTTCCTGTTTGCCCCGAAGCCCGGCAAGGACCCCCCAGAGGCCGAGGATATGGAACAACCTCCCGCCGTGATTGGGGGTCTCGCTCAGCCGCGCGCGCGCTTCGAAGGGCGCCAGGCCAGGGCGGCCGCGCGCGGCGCGGCGCGCCGCTTCCGCGCCACGTCCTCGTGCCCGGGGCCGCGGAGGAGGAGGAGGAGGAGGAGGAGGAGGAGGAGGAGGAGGAGCAGGAGCAGCAGGAAGGAGGAGGGGGAGCAGCAGCAGGAGGAGCAGGAGGAAGAGGAGGAGGAGGAGGAGGAGCAGCAGGAAAAGGAAGAGGAGGAGGAGGAGCGGGAGGGAGAGGAGGAGGAGGAGGGGGAGCCGTCCTTCCGCGCCCCCGCCTCGGCCGCGCGGGTGCGCCGGCCCATCCTGGCTGCCAAGGGCCGCCGGGAGGCGGCCGCGCCTCGCGCACCTGTCCGGAGGGGCCCAAGGGCTGGATGCTAGTGGGCCCTGGAAGCGACAAGGCTTAGGTCGGGCGTGTCCTTCCAGAGGCGGATTGTGGAGGACAAACAAATGGCCAAAACTGCCCCTACATATTTTTAGACGTGCTAGGAAAATCGTCCCCACACTGTTTTCATCAGAGTGAAGGGGGCCGACCGGTCAGTCATTGTCCCCGGGTGCGTTGCTGATTCGGGAATTCGTGGTGAGAGCTCTGCTTGTTGCGTTGTTGTTGCTGCTGCTGTTGAACTCTTATTTCGGACGAAGAATTATTGTTGATCCCCCCGTCCGGTGCACATTGTTTTTCGCTCGATTGAAGTGCCCTTCTGGGGGCTCGCACCCTGTTGTTTATCAGGGAAAACCTTGAAAGTCAAAATGTGTCGTTGGCCCCCGGGTTACAACAACAACGGCTCCCGCCTGAGATTTCCTCACAATTTAGCCAAGACCCCCGCTCCCGCCCGAGGATTCCTTGCATTTTATTCAGGAATCGCGCTCTCGCTTAGGACTTCCTTACAAAGTATTCTAGAATCGCTCTCCCGGCGCTCCAGAGTCGCGCTCTCGCTGGAGACTTGCTTGCAATTTACTGAAGAATAGCGTTCTTGCGGTGGAAACTCTTGCAATTTATTCAAGCGCCGCGCTCCCGACACCCAGGCACCCAGGAGTCGCGCTCACGTTTAGGACTCCCTCACAGATTACCTAAGAATCGGGATCTTGCTGCCCTTCGTGGTCCCGTTGCAGCCCTTCGTGGCCCCCTCGCTGCCCTTCGCGGCCCCGTTGCAGCCCCTCGTGGCCTCCTCGCTGCCCTTCGTGGCTCCGTCGCAGCCCTTCGTGGCCCCTTCGCTTTGGTTCGTGGCCCCGTTGTAGCCCGTCGTGGCCCCCTCGCTGCCCTTCGTGGCCCCGTCGCAGCCCTTCGTGGCCCCGTTACAGCCCTTCGCGGCCCCCTCGCTGCCTTTCGTGGCCCCCGATCGTTCGCGCCCGTGGTGGCTTCATATGCATGCCCTTCGTGGCCCCGCTGTCGCCCTTCGTGGCCCCGTCGCTGCCCTTCGTGGCCTCGTTGCTGCCCTCAGTAGCCCCGTCCTTGCCCTCCGCGGCCCAATATACGTCTGCCCTTCGTGGCCCCCGTTCGTTCGCGCCCGTTGTGGTCCCATGTGCATGCCCTCCGTGGCCCCGGTGTCGCCGTTTGTGGCCCCCTCACTGTCCTACGTGGCCCAGTTGCTACCTTCAGTGGCCCCGTCGTTGCCTTCTGTGGCCCCGCATGATCTGCCTTTCGTGGCACCCGATCGTTCGCGCCCGTCGTGGCCCCATGCGCATGCCCTTCGTGGCCCCCTTCCTGCCCTTCGTGGCCCCGCTGTCGCCCTTCGCGGCCCCCTCGCTGCCCTTCATGGCCCCGTTGCAGCCCTCAGACCCCGTCCTTGCCCTCTGCGGCCAAGTATACGTATGCCCTTCGTGGCTCCCGCTCGTTCGCGCTCTTCGTGGCCCCATACGCATTCCCTTCGTGTCCCCGCTGTCGCCCTTTGTAGCCTACTTCGTGTCCTTGTGGCCCTGCTGTCGTTCTCACTCGCTCTCGCTTTCGCTCGTCGTCGTCGTCGTCGTCGCCGTCGCCGTCGTCGCCGCCGTCGCCGTCGTCGTCGTCGTCGTCGCCGTCACCGTCGTCGTCGTCGTCGTCGTCGTCGTCGTCGTCGTCGTCGTCGTCGTCGTCGTCGTCGTCGTCGTCGTGGTCGGTCCCCTGTCCGTCCTTCTTGGGGTCGGGTCGACGGTCCGCGGCCGCCCCGCCGATCAGTTTTGCCGCTGGCCAGGCCGACAGTCCGCGGCCGCCCCGCCGCTTGCCGGGGCCTGGCCTGCAGGGAAGAAAGGTCTACCCCCCAAAAGGGGTTCGATCGAAGACGAAGAGGGCGGGTATCGAGGGTTTGGGAAATACGCGTTATTGGACACTCGAGCAGATAAGGGCGAACAATCTTAAAATGATTATTGTTGTTGTTGTTGTTGTTGATGTTGTTGTTGTTGTTGTTCGTTGTCGTCGTCCCACCCGCGACCCACCCGCGACCCGCGACCCACCACGCGACACATCCGCGACCCATCCACGACCCACCCGAAACCCACCCCGCGACCCGCCCGCGACCCACCACGCGACCCATCCTCAAGGGAGAAAAAACCACCCAGACCCAACAATTGACGTTTACTAAACGGCCCTAGGCGTTTACTAAGCAGCCCTGCCCTGTTCGATTCATTCCTTGTGTGCATTTACTGAACGGCTTCGTTTGTCGGGGTAATAATTCTGGGGTTAATTTTCTGCCCTCTACATCCGCGACCCACCCGCGATCCAAGAACGACCTACCCGCGACCCACCCGCGACCCATTTGCCACCCACTCTCGATCCATCCGCGACCTACCCACATTGGATCCACGAAAAAATCAGCGCCTGCGGCGGGCTCGTTGCATAATTTGTGAAACCTTGGCCCCACCGCTCCTCACTCTTATCCCCATCTGCGGCGTGCTACGTAAGACTTTTGAATATACCTCCTGTAGAGGGACACGCCGGACTTACGACAAGGCCGCTCCCAGACACCGGGCGAGTCGAAAAACTCGAGGCGGAGGTTTGTCGTCGCCTTTGGGGCCCTCGGGGCCCTCTCACCAGGCCTTGGGGCAGTCAACAAAAGACGGCCCAGCATGAAAAAAACCGGTCCCGGGGGAGTGGTCGGGAGGTCGGGGGCCCGTGCCTCGAGCAAAATCGAGACGTCGGATGTCTGGGCAGTGGGCCCTGGAAACGACAAAGCCGCGTCTCCACAGGTGCCGTTCTGCCTTTTTCCTTGCTGGTGCCGCTTCGTGTTGTTTACCCGCTCCGTCGCCGTGGTTTTCCCGGCTCCAGCTCCTGCTCCAATCCCCGGGCCGTCTTTTTCCTGTTTCCGGTCGCCGATCCTGTTGCCGTTTCCACTTTCGAAAGACACTTTTTCGGACACGGTGAAAAACGACCCTGCCGTTTCCAGGGCCCACTAGGCCCAGAGACACACACACACACACATAGATAGTAAACTATCCACTGGAGGCCTCCGAGAGCACTTCGAAGAGACCCCAAGAGGCATCCACGAGAACTCTGACCCACGTCAGCGTCGTCGTCGCCGCCGCCGCCATTTTCGTCGTTCACCTTCAGGGTCGGCGGCACCGGCCACAAGGCCATCGCACTAGATAGACAGAGGTCCCGGGATTCTCGCAGTTTCTCGATGCTCTGGATTGTAGTCTCCCCCCCCACTTCCAATATCGTCCAGTCTTCTCCGGCCCGGGGAATCGACGATTGATTCTTAGTGTTTTGTGTCGTCTTTCGGCGGCGAGCCCAGGGGGGGGGTGAGAAGGAGAAGGCCTTCTCGGAAGACTCGAAAATCTCTGGACTTCTGAACAATTTTCTGAGCCTTCCCTGAAGACACGGAACAAATTGTCAGACGGCGCGAGGGGCTTCTGAGAAGTCCCGCCGCCTTCTGTCGGGAGCGGCAAAGAGGGGGGGGTACAAATCATGACCGGCGGCGTGTGCGCGGCCCAGCGGGGGGGCCAGGGACGTGATGAAATGAGAAGAGGCGCCTTGAATTTGGGAAATGTCATGGCCCCCGCCATGATATCCCCCCCCCCCCTTAGTCATCACCCCCCTCTCTTCCGCCCCCGAGGTTGGAGGAGGCCTTCTCGCCTTCTAGTTTCCCCCCCCCCCCCTCCGCCCGCTCGCCGCCCGCTCCCCCCTCGCTCGCCCCCGCAGTTCTTCAATGCTCTGGATGTTCGTCTTCCCCCCCCAGCTTCCGATACCCCAGATTTCGTAATAAAAGGGAGGGGGTCACAACCCTCCCAGACGAGAAGTCTTAGACCCCCCCAGACCATCCATGAAAGGGCGGCCCTTTGCCCAGACCCCTTCGAGCCCTCCAAGACAGCTCAAATCAGACCCCCCCCAAAATGTGATCCCCCCCACTTTATTATGGAATCCGGAGTACCGTCCAATCTTTTCCGGGGAATCGACGACTCTTGGTTTCTTGTTTTCGTCCGCACCCGAACCTCGCGTGTCCTTCGCGCCCTGCGTGGCCTGGGCCTTCCGCGCCGTTCCTCCGCGCCCGACGCGGGCGCGCCCCCGCCGGCGCTTCGCCGCCTCCACCACGCCGTCGAGCTCGTCGCGCCTCTCGCACCACGCGGGGACGGTGAACCTGCGGGCCCCAAAATATACCCCACCACCGGCCCCTAAGAACCCCCCCGAGAGGCCCCCAAGAGACCCCCAAGAGGCGGCCGTAGGGCCTTCGCAATATATATATATATATATATATATATATATATACTCCACCATCTCCGTTCCCCTCCCTCCCTCCACCCTCCTCTTCCTGTCCTCTCTCTCCTGGGGGGGGGGGAGGGACGGGGGAGGTGGTGGTGGTGTATACCTCCGGGCCCCGCAGAGCCAGATCAGGCTCTGGTGCAGCACTAGCGTGGCGAGCTGCCACTTCGGGTAGATGGCCCAGCTCGTGCTCCAGCCGCCCATGAACAGGCACCCGTCGCGGCGCCGCACGTGGCCGAGCGGGCTCCAGCCGACGCTCGGGCCGTTCGACCAGCCTGGCATGGTGATCGGGCTGCCTGGCCTCCGCTCCGCACGCACGCAGCGGAGCTGCAGCCAATCGCACCACAAGGAGCTCACAGTGCGTCTCGTCAGGTACGCGTCGCCAGACAACGTCTGGCCTCCTTTCATGAGCATGTTGCAGAAGAGCGCCATGTCTTGCAGGCATGACAACAATCCGCCTCTGGGCAACGTTCCGATCATGCCGCCGCCTGCCAACCCGCCATCGCGCCCCCTGGCAAGCTGAGGCGTGGTACAACTGCCGAATGCTGTCTGGCAGGGTTTCTGAGGCCCTCCCCTCCCGACACTCGCGCCGATGCACTGCTCGCAGCTCTGGAGTCGCAGCAATCAAGGTCTGACGTTCGTCGGCCACTTCTGGACCCCAGAATAGACCAAGATGAACTCAGGCAGCTCAAGACAGCCCCAAGACACCCCCAAGATGGCTCCAGCAGGGGCCAAGACGACTCACGGCAACCCCACGACGGCTCAAGACGAGGCCCGTAGCCTCCATACTATTCGACGCCTACGTGGTCCAAGAGGGCCCGCAGAGAGCCCTCGAGGCTTCCAAGAGAGCCCAAGAAGGCCCAAAGAGAGCCCCAAGAGACTTCACGAGACCCCTAAGAGGAGCCAAAAGGCCTGAGACGGCACAAGAGTTATGAAAGAACTCCTCGGAAGTCCTCGCGAGAACGGATAATCAGGGCGGTCAGGCTGTCAGGCCAAATGAAATGGGGCATTCAACCATATCAAGCCACACTAAACGGGGGGATAACCATAATTGCGCGGGGTTGAGCGGGATGATGCCAGCTGCCGACCACGGATCTACCAACGCCGATGCTGAAATGACCCCCCTGGAGTAAACAAGAGGGCTCAAGATGGTCCAAGAGGGCCCCAGGAGGACCCTAAGATGGCACAAGAAACCTTCCACGAGAAACCCGACCCTGAGACCCCCGGACGTCCATAGATTAAGGAGCTGCAACAACTGCAAACCATGTTCGGAAAAAAAAAAAAAAAAAAAAAAAAAAAAACCAGAAAATAACAACGAAAACCAAACAACGACATAAAAAACACCTTCAGAGAAAAAAAAAAAAAAAAAAAAAAAAAAAAAAAAAAAAAAATACACGTTACAAAAACAAAGATGAATTCTACGCCTAGTCACCTATACTATTGCCACGTGACGAGTCAGACTGCAAATTTCCAGTCAAGAGGCATTGCGCTGCAGACTGGACAGCAATGTCAATCAGCCATTGCCCCCGCGAGGGCACGAAGGGACATATAGGACAGGAGAAAGATGGACAAGGAAGAAGGATGGATGGAATGAGGGAACGGAAGGAGGTGCACCGAAAGATGGGCAAGGTAAAGGCGGGCGGAAGGAGTGGCGGGCAGGAGGGGGGGCGGCTGGGAACCCATCAAAGAAGGCGGGAAGGATTTGCAGAGGCGGGCAGGGAGAAGAGGAGGTGGGCACGCCAGATCGCGACAGCAACGGCTACGATAACAACGGCGGCGCGATGACGATGACAGAGCAAGGAGGGATTGTCGCGCCTGGCAGCGTCGGGCGGAGGCTCGCAGCCATTACTGGTTCACCGGGAGGAATGCGGTGGCACGGCAGAGCGACGCACCAGAGCTGATCCTCCTCACCCACCCACCCAACCCTCCCCTTGCTCCATAGAGCCCGTCGAAGTCCCAGGATATCGCAGGAAGAGATGCCGGGGGGGCCCTCGAATCCCTTCTCCTCCTGCTCGTCCTCCTGCTCGTCCTCCTGCTCGTCCTCCTGCTCGTCCTCCTGCTCGTCCTCCTGCTCCTCCTCCTGCTCCTCCTCCTCTTTCTCCTGCCCCTCCTCGTCCTCCTCCACCTCCTCCTCCTCCTCCTCCTTCTCGCATCCTTGTCCCCCTCCGCCCCTTCCCCCCTCCCCCTTCTCCTGGGGGGGGGGCGGCGTTGGGAGGGGAGAGGGGGTCGCTGGGAGGCCCTTCGAAGCCCCCTCGAAGCTTTCCGTGAGAGGCCTGGGCGACCGACGAGCCAGCGAGCGCAACGCGTGCGCTCCGCTCATAGGACACTGCATACATGCGGGTTTTCTGCTCCAGGAGGCCCCCTGGAGGCCAACAGGGCGCCCAACTGAGTCCCCAACAGTATTCCAGAGACCCAAGAGAGCCCCGAACACCCGACGAACTCTCCACCTACAGCTCAGGGAGGAAGTGTAGAAGCGTCACAGAGGGGGGATAATCACAAGGATCAGGAGGTGGGGGAGGGGGGGGATGAGGAGGCGGAGGAGGTGGAAAAGGGGAGGGGGGAGGATGAGGACAACGATGAGCACGAGGAGGCTGGCCGCGCTGCATTCCGCCCCCCGTCGCAACAGACAGAGCGGGCGGCAAGTTTCACTGGCACGTGGAATGCCGATTGCTCAACAGTGACATGAATAACCACAAACGCCTTTGCATTTACCAAAGCTCACGTGGAAGTGGTACAACGCGAACGTGAGCGAAATGGTGACGGTGGCCTTGTTCTGGGCCTCCGAGACTCTGTCCAAGTAATCCTGGTCGAAGATGTGGTCGCCCTGGCACTGCTTGATGGCGTCGTTCATCTCCCGTACTGCTTTGGCGTAGGCTGGCAAGAACTTGTAAGCCTCATTCTGGCACAGCCTATGGGCGACTGGCTTGGCGGGCCGATCAATTAACAGCTGCTCCTCGCTCTTCCACTCCGGGCACCCCTCTTCGATCTTGCTGACGACCGCGTCGATCGTGGTCTGCCAACGCGTCCTGATCATGGTGGTGACCTCCATTGATTTGACCAGCGAGATCTTGACTGCCTCCGGCAACGCAAAGCCATCGAGCTCCTGGCAGACGTGCTGCCCAGCGCCCTGCGTCATGTGGCAAATGACCATCGCGAAGTTCTCGACGAAGTTGTCCTCGGCCGCGTGGTGGGAGATCTCGAGATTGCGCTCCTGCGCGACCTTCGTGACCATGGACTGCAAGGCGCGGTTCAACGCCTCCCGCTTCTTCCGGGCGCTGAGAAACAAGATCACCTCATCCCGCTTCGGGGCCGCCTGCTCCACGGAGGGCTCGCCAGACAGCCTGCCTGCCACGGGGAGCAATGGCGCCATGGCACCCCACAGCTCCAGGAGTCTGCAGCCGATGCCAACCTGCCTCGCGAGCACCTGGGCGCGAAGAGGGGGGGGCCGCCTCACCCTGCCCGTCCTAGAGATCAAGTTTTTATTATTCCACATAACGCGCGTTATGTGGCTGGGTGGGTGGGTGGGGTCGCTGGCACATAACATAACACAGCCGCGCCCGGCCGCTCGAATGGCTGTATGCACACATTCTGATGCAGCAACCTATGCGCGCACCACATCGCGCGTGTACACCACAGTGCATGGCGCATGGCAGTGATCACTAAACCACAGAAACTGCGTATACGACTGTACACGCGCCATACCATTTTTTTTCACACCCTTTGCTGCGCCCACAGCAGCACGCTCCGCGCGCACAACGCAGTCGCGCCTGGCCGCTCGAATGCTGATTGTGCTGGAAGGACTGCCCTTTGTTGCTATCGGTCATAGCACTCATGCAACGAAAGGACCTAGCAGCTGCGAGTGCTACACAGCGCCGCGATGCCCACGAACACCACGCATGCTGATGCAGCAACCTACGCGCGCACAACATCGTCAGCGTACGTCGCAACGCACGGGTGCACAACAGCGCCTGTGTATACAGCTGTCAACGTGCACACCACCTGTAGTACGCCAGCGAAAAAATCGCTTGCGACCCGACAGCCACGACGCGCCTATGTCAAGCGCTGCAATAGTTTGCGGTCCGATCAACGCGACGTGCCCGTAAACGGCACAATGCTTTTGACGAGCGCAGCGTCTGTGAAAACCACAGCGCTTGTGAACACCAAAGCGCCTGTCAACGTAGCGCCTGCGAACGCCACAGCGCCCGTGAATGCCGCATCGCCTGTGCACGCGACATAACCAGAAAACGCCACAACCCGTGTGAACGCCACAACGCCTGTGAACACAGCGCGCGCGAGCACCGCAGAGCCTGGGGCCCGGCGGCAATGCGCACGCACTTACAGTACAAGTAGCAGTGGTAATAGCATTGGTAGTACTCGTAGTAGTAGTAGTAGTAGTAGTAGTAGTAGTAGTAGTAGTAGTAGTAGTAGTAGTAGTAGTAGTAGTAGTAGTAGTAGTAGTAGTAGTAGTAGTAGTAGTAGTAGTAGTAGTAGTAGTAGTAGTAGTAGTAGTAGTAGTAGTAGTAGTAGTAGTAGTAGTAGTAGTAGTAGTAGTAGTAGTAGTAGTAGTAGTAGTAGTAGTAGTAGTAGTAGTAGTAGTAGTAGTAGTAGTAGTAGTAGTAGTAGTAGTAGTAGTAGTAGTAGTAGTAGTAGTAGTAGTAGTAGTAGTAGTAGTAGTATAGTAGTAGTAGTAGTAGTAGTAGTAGTAGTAGTAGTAGTAGTAGTAGTAGTAGTAGTAGTAGTAGTAGTAGTAGTAGTAGTAGTACTAGTAGCAGTAGTGGTAGTAGTAGTAGTAGTAGTAGTAGTAGTAGTAGTAGTAGTAGTAGTAGTAGTAGTAGTAGTAGTAGTAGTAGTAGTAGTAGTAGTAGTAGTAGTAGTAGTAGTAGTAGTAGTAGTAGTAGTAGTAGTAGTCGTCGTCTCCGGCACCTGCCTGTCTCGCCTTGTGCCAGCGGGGCATTTTGATGTACGCAGTTTTGACTCCGGCCGTCGTCGTCGTCGTCGTCGTCGTCGTCGACGTCGTCGTCGTCGTCGTCGTCGTCGTCGTGGTTGGCCTCTCGGGGGCCTCTGGAAAGCTGTTTTGAAGCGTTTCGGGAGCAGCTTTGGGGCCTCATTTGGGCCTCTTGGGGGCCTCTCGGGGCTTCCAGGGGGCCTCTTGGGCGCTTGTTGAGGCCTCTTGGGGGTTTCTTTTTGTTCTCCCCCCTCCGCTCTGCAGCAATACTCATGTCACCTGAGTCTGTCTCTGCATGTCGCAAGTTTGCACGAGCGTACCCGGGGCAACGCAGATCGGAACATGTGGAGGACACACATGATGAACGGTCTACAAGTTCAACAGGCGTAGCGTCGAACTCGGGCTCAAAACTCACTAGTTGTTGATCATAATGTAAAGCGCAAGGGCATTCACGGCGCCGTCCTCGACGTCCGCCTCTGGCTTCCGGGCCTTCGCGTCGGGAGCGCCGACGCAGCACTCGTAGACGCAGCCGAACGTCAGGAT